TGTATATGTATGCACACACATGGAGAAAAATGCACAAAACATCTGTATAACCAACATCCAGATCAAGAATCAGAACGTTACCAGTATCCCCACACCACACCTGCTTTCCTGCTTAGCCTCCCCTGATCACCGTCCTCCCTTTTATGAGAATCATTTCCTTGCTGTTGTCTATTGTCCCACTGCTATGTAACTGTCCCTAAACAACAGACTTCCAAACTCTATGGATTGGTCAGACACGGTGTGCCTCACTTCCGGTATCCAACACTGTACTTGTGAGGTTTGCCTATGTTGCTCTGCATAGCAGCAGGTCATTGACTGCCCTTCTTTTGCTTTATTGGATTAAAAAAGCCTGACATACTGCATACTCTTTGTAGGAAGTTACACCATAGAGACATACGTGGAAAGCTGTCATGGTCATCACTCCCCAAGAGCCTCGCCATAGCCCAGGTAACCATGCTGACTGGTTAGCATGAGTCCATCCATTCTTCTCCCTTGGAAGGAGTCACAGACTCAAGGTCTACAAAGGCCAAAGTAGGACCTGAAAGATGCCTTGACACAGACAGCGGACAGGTATTGGACTGAGGAAACCTGGGCCCTGTTTACTCAGAACTCCACAGCGACCATAAAACAAATTTATAGGCTGGATATAGCCCACTGACCACTGTTTTCCAGATGAGCGCTCTAGATCATGTGTTATTTCCCAAAACAGCTATATTGAGTTGTAATTTACATACAATAAAATTCAACCCTTAAAAGTATCCGATGAAGTTTTTTTGTGTACTTACAGAATTGTGCAGGCTTCACCAAAGTCTAATTTGGGGATATTTTCACCCCAAAAAGAAACCTTGTGCCCGTTAATAGTCACTGTCCGTGTCCATCCCCAACTTCCAGTCCTGGGCAACCAACAGTCTACTAATCTGTGTCCACAGACTTGCCTGTTCCAGACATTTCATAAAATAGAATCATACAGTATGTGGTGTTTTGTAAATGACTTTCCTGTTTAGCATAATGTTTTTGAGGTTCATCCATGGTTTAGTATGTATCCGTAGTTCATTCTTTTTAATGCCAAATAACATTCCATTATATGAATATACCACATTTTGTTTATCCATTCATCAGGTAATGGAATTTATGTTGTTTCCACCTTTGGGCTATTATAAGTGATGTTGCTATCAATATTTATATAAAGCTTGTGTGTGTGTGTGTGTGTGTGTGTAGAAACCTATTTTCATTACTCTTGTGTAGCCACCATGCACAATAAGAAAAAAGGGATAGAACTGCTAGTAGGAAGTCTGTTCAAGATTTGAGAAGCTGTGGGGCACCTGGGTGGCTCATTTGGCTGAACATCTGACTCTTGATTTTGGCTCAGGTCATGATCCCAGGGTCGTGGGATCGAGTGCCATGTCGGGCTCTATGCTGAGTGAGAAGCCTGCTTAAGATTCTTTCCCTCTCCCTTTGCCCCACTTCCCTGACTTCCCCCTCTCTCTCTAAAAAATAAAAAAAAAATTTAAAAAAGGTTTGAGAAACTGCTAACCTGTTTTTCAAGGTGGCTGTACCATTTTATATTCTACCAAAAATGTTTCGGGGCGCCTGGGTGGCGCAGTTGGTTGGGCGTCCGACTTCAGCCAGGTCACGATCTCGCGGTCCGTGAGTTCGAGCCCCACGTCGGGCTCTGGGCTGATGGCTCGGAGCCTGGAGCCTGTTTCCGATTCTGTGTCTCCCTCTCTCTCTGCCCCTCCCCCATTCATGCTCTGTCTCTCTCTGTCCCCCCCCCCCCAAAAAAAAATGTTTCATGGCTCCAGTTTCTCTTTTTGATTCTAGTCATCCTAGCGGGTGTGACATGCTATCTCACTGTGATTTTGATTTGCACTTTCCTGATGATTAATGATGCTGAGCATCCTTTCAAATGCTTGTTGGCCATATATTTTCTCTGGAGAAGTGCTTATTCATTTTTTTATGGCCAAAATAGTTTCCATGTATAGACATACCGCATTTTATTTACAGATTCATCAGTTAATGGGCATCTGGGTTGTATTCACCTTTGGTTCTTATGGATAATGTAAATATTCATATACAAGTTTGTGTGCGGACATATATTTTAGTTTTCTTAGGCATATGCCTAGATGTGGAACTGCTGGATTATCTAGTAACTCTTGATTTAACAACTTGAGTAACTACTAGACTGTTTTCCAAAGCAGCTGCATATTTTACATTCCTACCAGGAGTGTATGAAGGTTCTGATTTCTCCACATCCTCACAACTCTTGTTATTATCTGACTTTCATAGTAAATGTGAAGTGGTAATGATTTGCATTTCCCTAATGAATAATGATGTCAAGCATCTTTTCATCGACTTATCGATCATGTATATATCTTCCTTGGAAAAATGTCTATTCAGATCCTTCTCTATTTTTAAATTGGATTATTTGTCTTTATTATTGATTTGTGAGAGCTCTTTATATATTCTGGATACAAGTCCCTTATCAGATCCATGATTTACAAATATTTCATCCCATTCTGTGAGTTGTCTTTTCACTTTCTTGATGGTATCCTTCGAAGCACAAAGGTTAAAATTTGATAACATGAGCTTATCTATTTCTCCTTTGTTGTTTAAGCTTTTGTTGTCATATCTAAAAATACTTTGCCAATGCAAGGCCATGAAAGTTTACCCCTGTCCTTTTCAATGTTTTAGTTTTAGCTCTTACGTTTAAGTATTTGATCCACTTTAAGTTAATTTTTGTATGTGGGGTAAGAGTCCAATTTCATTCTTTTGCATGTGGCTAGTCAGTTGTCCCAACACCATTTGTTGACAAGACTATTCTTTCTCCATTGAATTGTCTTGCTGCCTCTGTTGAAAATTAACTGACCATAAATGCAAGGGCTAACTTCTGGACTCTCAATTCTACTTAATTTCTGTATATATCTAACCTTATGCCAATACCACAATTGTTTTAATTACCACAGCAGTGTAGTAATTCTGATATTGCAAGTGTGAGTTCCCCAAGTTTTTTTTTTTCAAGATTATTTTGACTATTATGGGTTCCTTGCATTTCCTTATGATTTTTAGGATCATCTTGTCAATTTCTGCAAAAAAGTTAGCTGAGACTTTGGGATTGTGTTAAATATGCACACTGCTTTGGGAAGTACTGCTATTTTTATAATATTAAGTCCTCTGGTCCATGAATGTAAGATGTCTTTCACCTTATTTAGGTCTTCTTTAATTACTTTCAATAATGTTTTGTAGTTTTCATTGTGTAAGTCTTAGACTTCTTTTGCTAAGTTTATTCATAAATACTTTATTCCTTTTGATGTTACTGCACATGGAACTGTTTTGTTATCTTTATTTTCAGATTGATTATTAGCATACAGAAACACAACTGAATTGTGTATATTGATTTTTTATCCTGCAACCTTGCTGGGTTATCAGTTCCAATATTTTTTTTTTGGTGAACGTCTTAGGATTTTCTACATACGAGATCATTTCATCTGTGAATGGCAGTGGTTTTACTTATCGCTCTTTAACGTGGGTGCCCTTTCTCCTCTCTTGCCTAATTGCCCTGGCCAGAATATCCTGTACAATGTCACACAGAAGTGGCAAAAGCTGACGTCCTTATCTTGTTCCTGGATTTTAGGAGGAAAGCATGTAGTCATTTCCCATTAAGAATAATATGAACCGGGGACACCTACCCAGCTCCACTGACTGAGTGGAGCTTCTGACTTCAGTTCAGGTCACAACCTCACAGTTCGTGAGTTCAAGCCCCACGTTGGGCTCTGTGCTGATACCTCCGAGCCTGGAGCCTGTTGTGGATTCTGTGTCTCCCTTTCTCTCTGCCCCTCCCCCCACTCGCACTCTGTCTCTCTGTCTCTCAAAAATAAATAAACGTTAAAAAAAATGATATTAATTGTAAGGTTTTTTATAGGTGCCCTTTACCAGGTTGAGAAATTTCTGTTTAATTCCTATTTTTTTTAGCGTTATTCAATCATGAAAGAATGTTGGATTTTGTCAAATGCACTCTTATATGTCTTTTGAGATGCTCATGTGTTTCTTTGTTCTTTACTGATATGGTGCATTACATTAATTGATTTTTGGATATTAAACCAACCTTGCACACTTGGGATAAATCCTATATTGTATCATATCTTTCACACGCTGTTGCATCCAGTTTGCTAGCATTTTGTTGAAAATGCTTACATCTATATCCATAAGAGACATTGGTGTATAGTTTTCTTATGATGTCTTTGTCTGATTTTGGTATAACACCGATCTCATTCAATGCACTGGGATGTGTTCCCTCCTCTTGTATTTTCTGGAAGAGCTTATGCAGGATTGGTACTAATTCTTTAAGCGTTTGGTAGAATTAATCAGTGAGGTCATCTGGGCCTAGGATTTTCTTTGTGGGAAGTTTCAAAATTACTGATTCGACCTTTTGGCTTGTGATTGTTCTATTCAAATTATTTATTCTTAAGTCAGTTTTGGTCATTCCTATCTTTCTAGGACTTCTCCATTTCACTCAAGTTATCTAATTTGTTGGTATACAACTGTCCGTAGTATTCCCTTTTATACATTTTAATTTGTGTGAGGTGGGTACTGATGCTCCCTCTCTCCTTTTAAAAAATTTGAGTTCTCTCACTCTTTTTTTCTTGGTCTGTTAGCTAAAGATTTGCCAATTTTTTGGAGATTATTTATCACTTTTATAATAGAATTATTACCAGAAGACATAAAAAGTGAGGGGGTAATCACTACAATAGGAGGTGAAAGAACATTAATGTAAATCCAAGCTTTCGCTGCCCCATTCCCCCTAGATGCTGATATGGTTTCCCCACAGTTTTCTCCATAATGCACTTTACCATCTCTGCCTGGACAGTGGAGGTCAAGTGGGTCTTGGGGATCGAGGAGCACTACAGGGCACTGGTGGCCTGGCCATTGCTTACCAGCAGTGGTCAGCCATACGCTGTGGGCAGAGTTCATTCAGGGCTGTCTGGTCTGACGTCATAACTCACCGAAACTGTTTTTGTCGTGTTTCCAGCTCTTTACGTCTGTGCTGCTTGAGAATGTGAATTTGGTCATCGCAGGCCAACTTTGCTGTGAGGAGAGGACAGGTGTGAGAAGAGCCACAGGAAGAACGGTAACAACGTCCAATATTCAGGTTTCCCTCACACACCTGCCCATGCATCATCTTTATATGCATCATCTCATTTAAGCCTCTGAACACTTCCCCAGTTCATGTGTAGGAAACTGGGGCTTAGGGAGGTTGAATAGCTTTGTCTTTGAACTTTGCCCAAGGTCACACACCGAATGAGTGGATTTTCAGCACAAGACTCATGTCCATGCTCTTAGCCTATTATAAAAGACAAATCCAGTGTCCCCTCTTACTGCCTGCTCATTCGGCAAGCTGGGGGCCCTGAACCTTGGAGCTCTGAGAATCATGTCCACATACATGAGCCAGGCTTGGTGGTCATCAGGATTTATGGAGGCTGGACAATGATTCTCTTGGAAGGTACAGTGTATGGAGCAAGTTGCCTTAGCTTCCCCACATGTAAAATGGGTATGATAATGCCAATGTCAGGGTTATGGTAGGGATTTAGTGAGCACTTCACACAATGCTTGAAACCCAGTAAGTGGGAACAATGACTAACATTATTGTCCTTACAATCATGATGGACCTAGGCTTCCTCTTCCTCCCCCTAAGCCCAGATTCAAAGGTCTCTTGTCTCTCATCTCAGGAGTGGGGCAAGTGGCTAAAGTCAAGGTCAAGCTGCTCAGGGCCTTTAGAGCAGGAGAAGCCAGCTCATGACTACCCTTTATACTGTTATTTAGGGTAAAGCCAGTGAACACAGTGGGAGCCCAGACTAGCAAGATTCCAGAGCATCTCCTACCAAGATTCCAGAGCATCTCCTATAATAGTGCTTCTCCAGCTCTCTGTGGGTTTAAAAATTTCCGTTTAATCACAGACTGATATTTCTGTAAACTACAATAAAACTTAACTACTAGAAAAGAAATAAAAAACAAACCAAGGACATTCAAAGCATAAACCCTGTTTTTATTATAAGATGCAACGGTCACAGAATAATTCTTGCAAGTTGCTATAAAAGTTTGTAAATGCCTACTCTCAGTCTTGGTACCCACCTCTTTACAGACCAACAGCTAACAGTTCCTAGCCCACACTCAGAGCACCTTCTGGCTGAGGAAGCTCCAGTCCAGGGCTTGGAACTGGGGCCCAGAGAGGAAGATCAATGGGGCACCTCTTTGTTCTCCAGTGGGGATGTTAAGCCATCCAGCAGGGGGCAGGGTTAAGGCCACTGAAGGCAAGATGAATATTAACTGACAACAGCTGCCATTGGCTGTAGGGGACACTGTTGTAGGCACTCGACATTCATCATCTCTAATCCACCTCGAAGAATTAGCTTATTTCTCAGGCACCTGGCTCTGAGGCATTGAGTCTTCAATTTCAGTGGTATGAAGAAGTCAGAACGTGTGGAACTGCACATACCAAGTCTCAAAAGCTGTCAGCTCCATTTCTCCTGGTCCTGAGGGTGCCGGACATCTACCCCAGTGACTGATGGAACTTTTGGGAACACAGCAGGTGACAAAGCCTAGACTGAATGCCCCAGAGTTCTGGAGAGGGGGGTAGATTCCAAAAGACTGACGTGAGTGCCTTAATGAAGCTGTCTTTTCACATAGGTGCTCTCGATCCCTGGGACCACAGTGACAGCCCTCTGACATTTATGTTCACCCCAGGTGCAGTGGTGGAGCATTAGATTGCAGAGGTTACCATGTCGCTCATGGGCAGGGTCCCCTCATTTCCGGATTGTCCAAAGGATTGGTCATTGTGCCATGGGGTGGATTAAAGATGGCCATAAATTCTTTGACATTCTTTCCATTGAGAGGTGGGATCTATGTCCCCTTTGAGTTTGGATGGGCTCTGTGACTGCTTGGACCAACAGAATAAGGTAGAAACTACCCCCTGACAGTTTCCAGGCCCAAACATGAAGAGACCGGCAGCTTCCACTTTCTGTCTCTTGGAATACTCGCTCTTAGAAGCCAGCCACCGCATAAGAAGTGCAACTACCCTGTGAGGGCCAAGCCGTGAGAAGCCCAACTCCATGGAGAAGGCTTCCAGAATGAGCTTCCAGGTGGAGAGAGAGGCCATGGAGCCCTGAGGTGCTAGACATGTGAGAGAGGAACCGTCCTCGAAGGGAGCCTTCTAGCCCATTGTCCTCAGTTGATGCTTCGTGGCTCACGGACAACCCACCCAGCTGAACCTTTCCCAAATTTCCATCCCATGATGAAAAAATGAAATGGCTGTTTAAATCCACAAAGATTGTTACAGAGGAACTGATAAGCGAAACATGCTGGATGGGCAGCTTCCATGTGCCCCTTCAGAATCTACCCTTCACCTCATCCTGTCCCTGAAGGTCCCTGATCTTGTCCTCAATTTGAATGAATTGCATCAATGGGCTTTGTGTTGGGTTCAGCCACTGGGAGCCCTGACCAGAGAGAGGAGGGCACTGGAGAGTGAGGAGAGGACATTTATTTCCCAGGTCCTCTTGTAGTGTCTCCCTGCTGTCTGCATCTCTACTAGGGGCCACAGCTACTCCCAAGGGAGCTCTGTCTCTAGGACACTCCCCATGTGGATTATTCTGGCATTCTTCCCCTCCCCTCACCCCAGCAGGACTGGCAGTGCTAATGGTCTACACCTTTCTTTCTTTGTTTTTTCTTGTGATGAGAACTTTTAAATTTTTATTTTCATTCCACTAAACAATGTAACATTAGTTTCAGGTGTACAATGTAGTGATTCAACACTTCCACACATTACCCCATGCTCATCACAGCAAGTGCATTCCTTAATCCC